GTGGCCCACTGGTTGGCAGCTGCTGGTCTGGAACTTATTTGCAGCGAAGGGGGCTCCCTCCCAAATCGCTGTGCCTTGGGCGGCTGCCCCTCCTGCCCACCCCTTTTCCCAGCCCAGACCATTGCCGTGGGTTTGTGGGGACTCCCCAGGATTCATAAATTGCAAATGATTGACCAAAACCTTAGCAGGCTCACCACCAGAAATAAGGATCAATGTATTGTATAGTGCAGGGCATAGCCTTTTCCCCCGGTCACATGAGTCACAAAGCCCCCCTTTTGTATAAATAAAGTGGCAGTCTAAAACTGAGGATATCGGGTCACCACAATGTTCAACAAAGGTGGACTTGGATCAATTTTCCTCCATATGAAATGGAATCAATTGACGTTAATAGGCATTTGTAGGCAAAATGGAAAAATCTATATGTGTGTGGCCAGCTTAAAGCAAGCCATAGATTATACAATTTTCTTTCTTTCCACCACGGGTGAAAGGAAAGAAAATAACTAGATTCCCCCATCAACACTGACTGTGTTTTGCTGGTGAAGAGCCTTCCCTCCTGGAACACAGTGATCACTGCTAGCGGCTATAGCCACCGGCAGTGATCGAATGCAAAAAATCCAACAGGCTGGTTGTAATGAAGTCGATCAATGGACCACTTCAGTACAACCAGCCTGCCCATAGATGGATTGAATTTCAGCCAGTCACTGCTGAACCGGTCGAGATTTAATTAATCTATGGCCAGCTTAAAGTGTTACTAAATCCACAACAGTAAAATCAGTCTGTATATGCAGTAAAGCATGCTTGTTATACTCACTGTGGAACCTGAGGGGTTAATCCTCTGCATTGTGCAAAAATGCTGTTTGATCCTGTCTTCTCTGATCCTTCCCTTCTTCCAGTGTCCGTTCTTATCTCCTGACACATCATTTGGAGACACTCTGCACATGCTCAGTTTGGTGTGTATTGCTAGAGAGGTTTTTTTTTCTTGGGAGAGTACATGTGATCAGCACAGGGCCAAATAGCACTGTCCAGACAGAGGTTGGGGGTCCTGCATCCTCCAAGAGCAGAAATAAAACTCCTCCTACAAGCTCGAACCAGTGCTCTGCTGAACACTGATAGAAGTCATAAGACTGCTCTAATTGCTGATGAGAAAAGGTATTTAGCAGTTTATATTTACTAAAATAATTGCATTTCCATGTTGTGTGTACTGAATGCAGGGTCCGGGGAGACCAGGATATAGTGAATGCAGGGTCCCAGGGAGACCGGATATAGTGAATGCAGGGTCGGGGAGATCGGGATATATAGTGAATGCAGGGTCTGGGGAGACCGGATATAGTGAATGCAGGGTCTGGGGAGACCGGATATAGTGAATGCAGGGTCTGGGGAGACCGGATATAGTGAATGCAGGGTCCGGGGAGACCGGATATAGTGAATGCAGGGTCAGGGGGAGACCGGATATAGTGAATGCAGGGTCCGGGGAGACCGGATATAGTGAATGCAGGGTCCAGGGACCAGAGTGACCGGGGACCGGATATAGTGAATGCAGGGTCCAGGAGACCATATATAGTGAATGCAGGGTCCGGGGAGACCAGATATAGTGAATGCAGGGTCCAGGAGACCATATATATAGTGAATGCAGTGGGGAACCAGATGCAGGGTCCAGGAGACCATATATAGTGAATGCAGGGTCGGGGAGACCAGATACAGTGAATGCAGGGTCCAGGAGACCAGATATAGTGAATGCAGGGTCGGGGGGAGACCAGATACAGTGAATGCAGGGTCCAGGAGACCAGATATAGTGAATGCAGGGTCCGGGGGAGACCAGATATAGTGAATGCAGGGTCCGGGAGATATAGTGAATGCCAGACCAGATATAGTGAATGCAGGGTCTGCGGAGACCAGATATAGTGAATGCAGGGTCTGCGGAGACCAGATATAGTGAATGCAGGGTCCGGGGAGACCAGATATAGTGAATGCAGGGTCCAGGGTTTAGTAACACTTTAAGACCCACGCACACAGAGCCAGTAAAGACAATAGCCGCATGACTTACCAGCATGTCTGCATGTCTTTGGAATGTGGGATTTAACCCACAAAAGCTGAGGGAGAACATGAAAACTTCATGCTGATAATATCCTGGCTGAGAGTCAACCCATTGCTGCAAGGCATAAGGGCTAAACTCACGCACGTGAGGGAGAACATGCAAACTCCATGCAGCTAGTTTCCAGGGTGGTAATCAAACCAAGAAACCCATTGCTGCAAGGCATAAGAGCTAACCATTAATCCACTGTGCTGCCTCGATGTTTTAATGAACGAAGAGAGGAAACGTTGCATTTACACATCCTGGCCGGCCAGAGAGGATCTCGTAGCCCAGCAGGCTGGCTGTCTATTGCTCCATGCCTAATCTTCACACCTCTCCCTGGCTGCATCTCTTTAGCATCCTTCATGGTGCTGACCTGCCTTGGCCCTGCCTCTCACCATTCTTGAACTCAACACTTTCCAGTTTACTTGGCAGCATCCCTCCTCCATTCCCACCTCCTTCCCGGCATCCTCCTTCTATCCGTCTCCTCGAATGCATTCCTAATGTATGCAAATCCAAATCCCCTTCGGATGTAATGAAAGCAAACAGACATCCCACACACAGTCCACCCTCCGCAGAAGACGTACACCCCAATAATGATCCTGGGAATCCAATGTTACACAATTTTTTTATAATAAGGGGAAGCACAATTTTTACCATAAATAACATAGTAATAACAACAACAACAACAATAATAATAATAATCATCCCGGGGCTCCAATGTTACCCTATGTTTTTATAATAAAGGGAATGTGATTCTTACCATAAATGACACAGTAATAATAACAACAACAACAATAATAATAATAATAATAATCCCAGGATTCCAATGTTACCCTGTTTTTATATTAAGGAGAATATCATTCTTACCATAAATAACATAGTAATAATAATAATAACAACAATAATAATAATCCCAGGATTCCAATGTTTCTCTATAGGGTTGATTTACTAAAACTGGAGAGTGCAAAATCTAATGCAACTCTGCATAGAAACCAATCAGCTTCCAGGTTTTATTGCCAACGCTTATTTGAACAAGCTGAAGTTAGAAGCTGATTGGCTATCATGCCCAGCTGCACCCAATTCTGAGTGCACCAGTTTTAGTAAATCAGCCCCAATGTTTTTAATAAGGGGAAACACAATTCTTACCATAAATACATCATAATAATGATAAAAACAACAATAAAAACATAACATATCATAAATAGTATAAAAAATAAAAATAATCATCATCATCATAATAATAAATAACACAATTTTTACCATAAATAACGTCATAGTGATGATAACAACAATATAATCATAAAAAAATCATAAATAATAATAACATTAATAATAGTAATAATAATAATAATAATAATAATAATAATAACAACACAATTCTTACCATAAATACCATCATAATAATGATAACAACAATAAAAGCATAAAAAAATCATAAATAATAATAATAATAACAAAACAATAATAATAATAGTAACAGCAATAATAATAATAATAATAATAATAATAATAAATAACACAATTTGTACCATAAATACCATCATAATAATGATAACAACAATAAAAGCATAAAAAAAATCATAAATAATAATAATAACAATAATAATAGTAATAATAATAATAATAGTAACAGCAATAATAATAATAAATAACACAATTCTTACCATAAATACCATCATAATAATGATAAAAAACAATAAAATCATAAAAAATCATAAATAATAATAATAACAATAATAGTAACAATAATAATAATCATAATAGTAACAATAATAATAATAATAATAATAATAAATAACACAATTCTTACCATAAATACCATCATAATAATGATAACAACAATAAATGCATAATACGTCATAAATAATAATAATAATAATAAATACAATTTTAAACATAAATAAAATAATAACAATAACAATAATTATAAGCATAATAAATAACACAATGTACTTTAAAAAAATTCTTTAAGTCCTTCCTCTCAGAGGAGGTTACACTCTAATCTAGTATCTATAGTAGCTACTATTACCACCCATGAGGAGAGAGCCTGACGCCAACCAACACCACCCCCCCCCCCCACCCAAGAAAGCCTTCCACGACCACCACCCTCCTTACACCGGCCACCCCCCCAGTGAGAGAAGACACTCACCCTCACAGCTCCAGACATCTCCTGGAATGAGAGTCGGGCTCTGAATACACCGTCAAGCAGCCCGCAGCCTCTCTCGGATCCCACCTGGTCCCCATACCACATGTGTCCCTTCTTCTGTCCCTTCTTCCGGGGGTGGTGCTGCCCCCCTGAAAAATGCCGCCCTAGGCAAATGCCTTGTTTGCCTTGTGGTAAATACACCTCTGCATGTAACTATCCTTATTAGGTTTAGGCTGGCCATACATTATACAATTTCCTTTAGACTTACCTTCAACTATGTAATGCAAGGGCCTGCTTGGTTGCATACAATTGAAAGTGTTTAGGTTTGACCTCATATTACATGTTTTTGGTAAATCTAAAAGAAAATCGTACAAGAAAAATTGTATGATGTATGGCCAGCCTTAGTCAGAATTGTCGATTACAGGCATTCATTCTTTGTGATAGGGCCAGACAAGTATCCAGTTTGGTATTTTGTTTTATTTAAATATTAACATTTTTTTAAATAAAATAATTAAAACAAAAAAATGGAATAACTATACTTACAAGACCATACACATTACAATTCAGTGGGATACAATTCTAAAATTATAAAAATACATACTGACCTAGGTGGATGCAGCATCATTTCAATGCTGCATCTGTCCCCCGCTGCCTCTAAGACAGAGAACAAGGGGCGGACTGACCATTTGGAAACTCGGGCACTGCCCGAGGGCCCGGGGTCAGTAGGGGGCCCCATGAGATGCCCCTGGTACCTTTTCCATAGGCTTTTTTGAGTTTGGGCAAGGACAGAGGGGCCCCATGATCCCCTATTGCCCGGGGGCCCCATGAGTTGTCAGTCCGCCCCTAAGAGGCACTCTTTTCTGTGTCCAGTTGAAAGCACCACCACACATTTTGATTAAGAGGCCGATCAAAACTGGAAATCTTATCCTTGGGTTGTACCCTAATGCTGATCACATAGATTTGGCATCTAATTGTACAATCGTCGTTAAGATAGCCATAGACATAGCAATCTTATTGTACAATCTCTCTGCCATCTACTTCAGGTTTACTAACAAGTACGTAGTGGTAAACGCCTTCCTAAACCATTCATTCAGTTTTTTGCAACTAGGCAGGCCCTCATACTATATACAGTAACTGTTGATACGTTTAAATGGGATTGTACAATCAGATTGGAAAAACGTGCAGGCAGATTTAGCAACAACTAAGATGTATAAGGGACATGATGTGTGGTGGTGCTTTCAGTTGGACACAGAAAAGAGTGAAGGTAGGCCTTCGAACTACATAGTTGTTGGTAAAAGTCATTGAGATTGTACAGAGATTGTATAATAGGACTGCAGCATGTGTGGTCACCTAAAGTCCAATTTAGGGTCACAAATACGATCTGATCATACAATCAACTTTAGATTTACCAAAACTATGTAAAATGAGCACCTACCTAATCTTATCAATCAATTTGTATCCAATCAGACGGGCCCCTTGCACTGCATAGTTTGATAGCTCTAAGACCCCATTCACACCAATGCATTTTTTTAGTGCTTTTTGCAGAAACGCACTACAGTCCATTTATCATGGTTTCCTATGGAACATGTTCACACCTGTGCTTTTGTGAGCTGCTGCGTTTTTGGAAAGGGTCAGGAATTTTTTTTTTAAAGCAAAGAGCAGCGTTTTTGCTATAATTGAGTTCAATTGAGAATCTGTTGAAATGCGTGATAGTGCGTTTTGCCTCGTTTTGCATTTTTATTCTGCCCAGCAACAAAAAAATTCCACTTTAAAACAAAAAGAACTGAACAAAAATGCAAAACGTGGTAAAAAGCGTAAAAACCGTATTAAAGAAGTGTCAAAAAGCGTGTAGAAAAACATAAAACGAACTGCGAAAAGACAAAAAGCAAACTGCATAGGTGTGAATGAAACCCAAAGGAGATCATGCAATCAGATTGTCTGTGTTCATCTCAGTGGCTAAATGGTTAGCACTTCTGCCTGGTAGTACTAGCGTCGTTGGTTTTGAATCCCAGCCATGGCACCTCCTGCCTGGAGTTTGCATGTTCTCCCTGTGTCTGCGTGGGTTTCCTCCAGGTACTCCGGTTTCCTCCCACACTCCAAAGACCTGCTGGTAGGTTAATTGGATCCTGTCTATATTGGCCCTAGTATGTGTGAATGGGCAATAGGGGATCATGGGGCCCTGTGTCCTTGCCCAAACTCAAAAAAGCCTATGAAAAAGGTACCAGGGGCATCTCATGAGGCCCCCTACTGACCCTGGGCCCTCGGGCAGTGCCCAAGTTTCCAAATGGTCAGTCCGCCCCTGTTCAATACGACTACATAGTCCTCGTTCACGCCTGTGCGACTTGTTGCACTTTGACGGTTGCACGACAATTCACATCAAGAAGAATTCCATTGTTGTCAATGGGGCCCATTCACACCTCTGCAAGTGCTTTGGTGCGACTTAGAAAACGTTGCGGGTACTTTTTTTGGCACAACATCGATCTTTTTGCCTCTATAGACTTCAATGCGACGTTGTCAGTACTCGTTCAGTGCTCTTTACCCGCTTAGGCCCCATTCACACTATGGCGTACGAAGGCAGGTGTCTTGCGTTTGCACGTTTGTTCGCAATTTTTGCATGTTTTTGTGCTACATTGATAGGGCAGCCCATTAATTTCATTGGGTCGCCCTACAAGCAACAAACGCATCAAAGTAGCTCATGTGGTTTTTTGAGGGTTGAACCTTGCGTGTCTTTTAGCCGTGTTTGTTGCCCATTTTTATGCATGAAAAAAAAGCGCCTGCTTGCCGCGTTTGGGGCGCCATTAACAATGAATACAATTTTGCGCAGGTTTAGGAAACGCTACAGTGTGCATGCAGCCTAAGTCCTTGTTCACACTTTATGCAATTTATTGTGGTTTTCCATGCTTCGGCCATCACGTAACAAGAGATGTTCTGTTACTGTCTATGGGGCCTATTCACACCTATGCAGGATGCTTACGAATGAATAGGAAAAAAGGAAAAGGTGCGTTTTTTTTGGGGCATTTTTGGCTCATCAGGCCCGGTTCACACTAGCGCGGGTGGAAGCCGCTGCGGGACTTGCTCTTTGTTCCGCAGCTGCAACCACCCGCACGCTAAAACATGGGACCCATGGGTGGGATGCTCTTAGTCTTAATGGCTCCCAGTGCGGTTCCCAGTACAGGTTGCAATGTCTGGAAAGGTGCAAGGACCTTTGCCCTGCGTTTTGCGAGCCACAGCAGCACATTCAAATGAATGGGCTACTGTGCCATGACCTGCAAAATGGCACTAGTCTGAACCAGGGGCAAACTAATAACTCATGGGGCCCCCGGGCAATAGGGGATCATGGGGCCCCTGTGTCCTTGTCCACACTCAAAAAAAAGCCTATAAAAAGGAACCTGGGGCATTTCAAGGGGCCCCTACTGACCCCGGGCCCTCGGGCAGTGCCCGAGGGCTCGAATGGTCAGTCCGCCCCTGGTGTGAACCAAGCCCAAACAGGGGCGGACTGACCATTCGAGCACTCGGGCACTGCCCGAGGGCCCGGGTCAGTAGTAGGGGGCCCCATGAGCTGCCCCTGGTACCTTTTTATAGGCTTTTTTGGGTATGGTTTGAGTGTGGGCAGGACACAGGGGCCCCATGATTCCCTACTGCCCAGGGGCCCCATGAGTTGTCAGTCCACCCCTGAGCCCAAATGTTGGGTGGAGAGCATAAAAAAACACATTGGAGGAAATTTACTACAACTGGTGCGCTCAGAATCTGGTGCAGCTGTGCATGGTAGCCAATCGGCTTCTAACTTCAGCTCATTCAATTAAACTTTGACTAGGGGCGGACTGGCAACCCATGGGGCCCCCGGGCAATAGGGGATCATGGGGCCCCTGTGTCCTTGCGCACACTCAAACCACACCCAAAAAAGCCTATGAAAGGTACCAGGGACATCTCATGGGGCCCTCTACTGACCCCGGGCCCGTATGTACCCGATTGGTCAGTCCGCCCCTGACTTTGACAATAAAACCTGGAAGCTGATTGGTTCCTATGCAGAGCTGCACCAGATTTTACACTCTACAGTTTTAGTAAATCAACCCCAATGTTTTAGGGGGAATTTACTAAAACAGGAGAGGGCAAAAGCTGGTGCAACTGTGTATGGTAGCCAGGGGTGGACTGACCATTTGGAAACTCAGGCACTGCCCGTGGGCCTGGGGTCAGTAGGGGGCCCCATGAGATACCTCTGGTACCTTTTTCATAGGCTTTTTTGAGTTTGGGCAAGAACACAGGGGCCCTATGATCCCCTATTGTCTGGGGGGCCCCATGAGTTGTCAGTCCGCCCCTGATGGTAGCCAATCAGCTTCTAACTTCAGCTTCTTCAATTAAACTTTGACATTAAAACCTGGAAGCTGATTGGTTTCTATGCAGAGCTGCAACCTATTTTACATCTTGTATGTTTAGTAAATAACCTCCATAGAATGCAAGTGCTTCTTTTGGTGCGACATAGTAGGGGAGATTTACTAAAACTGGTGCACAGTGAATCTGCATATAGTAACCAATCAGCTTCTAACATTCAATTATTATTATTTATTTCAGGTACTTATATAGTGCTGTCAATTTACACAGCACTTTACATATATATTGTACATTCACATCAGTCCCTAACCCTCAAGGGGTGTACAATCTAAGGTCCCTAACTCACATTCATACATACACATACTAGGGACAATTTAGAAAGGAGCCAATTAACCTACCAGCATGTCTTTTGGAGTGTGGGAGGAAACCGGAGTACCCAGAGGAAACCCACGCATTCACAGGGAGAACATGCAAACTCCAGGCAGGTGGTGCAAAGGCTGGGATTCGAACCAGCGACACTAGTACTGCCAGGCGGAAGTGCTAACCATTTAGCCACTGTGCTTTGATAATAAACCTGGAAGCTGATTGGTTACCATGCAAAGCTGAACCAGATTCTGTGTGCACCGGTTTTACTAACAGCCAATACCCTCCAGTGTGTTTTTGGTCCCATAGACTACAGTGAGAGTGCACAAAAAGCATGAAAAATGCATCAAACACACACTAAACAGCACAACAATCGAATGAAAATCCAGATGCTCCGGCGCAAACCTAGCTTTAATTTATCGGATCTTTGAAAATCTTCCATAAACCATCCTTAGGGTACCACGCTGGACAATTCATTAATTTTCTGTGCATAAAAGACAGTGGAAAGTATACAAACTCCATGCAGATAATGTCCCCACAGGGAAAGGAACCCAGAGCTACAAAGCTTACCACCAACCAAAGTTTTAAAATTCCACTCCCCCTTCAAAGCATAGAAACCAAGATGATGCAGGTCCATCCTTCGTCCGTCGTAATCCAAAAAAGTACATTTTTTAAAGACGCATCCCTTCCTTCGATTTGCCAACGCGTCCGTCGTGTGCGATTTGCGTCGAAACCCTGATTCGATTTTCCGGTCTCTAGCGCTTGGTCCTCCCACCTCTTTTCCTCCATATGCTCCCATTGCTGCACAATCTGCTTTGCATCAATCCAATCTTTTTTGGCTGACTTTATCCAAGATAGCATCTCTGAGATCTGTCATCAGTAAGTGAGACACAGAGGAGAGGGGTCACCTCTGATGGACACCACTCCTCATCTTCACAAGTCAGGAGAGAGGCTCAGAGACCCCTGCCTCTTGCAATTATTCATGCGATTCTCTTCTCACTGCCCCCCTCTCCTTGTCTCCGTCAGCAGCTTGCTCTGAGCCCTAGCCTGGCCCCCTCCCTCCCCTTCATTCTCTCTCTCTCTCTCTGTCTCTCTTTCTCTGTTGCATTCCTTGCCAGAAGCTGCAAGCTTCACTTGGA